CTCTGAGCAAAGAGCAAGAATTAAACCCTGAGCACCATGGGTATGATCAAAAAAGAAAATAAAAAACAAGATAGCTCAAGGGGCTGAACACACAATATATATACATTACAGGTTTGGATCCTTGCTACCACACATGGTCCCCCAGATCCCCCAACACATAATTGAAGTGGTGTCCAAGCACAAGGCCACGAGTAGTCAGTCCCCAAGCATTGCTGGATCTGTCCCAGAAATAACTAAACATACCCCAGGGTCCATAGTGCAAGTGTATGTCAATGTGTTCAAATTCCAGATGTCTCACATACAAATAGTGCAATCATGGCAGCTTTGTTTGAGCCTGGAAGCTCTGCTCTCTGCAATTCCTGGCACCACAAGCAGGACTTTGTATTTGTTTATTTATTTACAGTTTGAGAGCCACACTTGGTGGTACTCAAGGCTTAATCTTGGCTCTGCACTCAGGAATCACTCCTGACAAACTTGGGGCACCATCTGGGATGCCAGGAATATAACCCAGGTTGGCCATGGGCAAGACAAATGCTCTACCTGTTGTACGATGGTTCTGGCCCCACTGCATGCATGCAATTTCTGGCTACACTACTGCCAAGTGTGTCTGGGTACCACACACACACACACAGACAAAAGTGTGACCCCTGGTGAGCACAACTAAAAAGATTGTTTGTCAAAATAGAAGTGTCACCTCTGGCAAGCATATATATATGAGCAGCTCAGTGAACTCCAGTAAGTACAGTCATAACTGACATGCTTCAACTAAGTGTGTGTGAGCACTATAAAGGAGTACAAGACCTCAGTGGGCACCACCCTGACGTGGGAAGCCTGCAAGAGATAGCCAAACAGGTGCAACAACTACTATGGGAGAGGGAGGAGACTTTTTAAAAAGAATTCAAAATACTGGGGCTGAAGAGATAGTACAGCGAACAGGGTACTTGCCTTGCACACAGATGACAGGTCCGCTCCCCAGCATCCCATATAGTCTCCAGAGTCCACCAAGAGCATATGCACAAACTGAGCATTGCTGGATGTGCCCTCCCCCAACAATAACAACAAAAAACATACTTGAACCCAGAACATGGCTCCAGGAAGATAGCACAAGGGGCTCAGTGCATTATTTTGCAGACAAGAGACCCAGATTTGATCCCTGGAACCACATTCCCTCCCCTATTCAAGCACAAGGAGTGACCCCAGAACACAGCACTGCCAGATGTGACCCCAAAACAAAAACAGAAAACAGTGAGGACGGTAGGAAGGTGGGAGGGAAGTAACAATCAGCATGAACTGCATCTGACTGGGGGCACTTTGAGGGAAAGTTAGGCAAGAGGATGGCGGGGGTGGATTAAGGGCAAGTTCCTCATGGGACAAACTGTTGATGCAGAAGCCTGAAAAGGGGTTGCATATTTTTAGAGAATTTTTCCTAAATTGGCATGCATTCACACCAACATCACAGACTGCAGAAGGATGCTTTTGGTTAGTGTGGACAAGAGGATAGGATGGTTTTTAAAGAGTTCAAGTATTTGGGAAGAAGTTAAAACAGGTCAAATTTGGTCCTGGGAATGTGACCTAGAGGTAGAGCACCTGCCTTTCAGGTCTGAGTCTGATACCAAGTATAGGCCCTCATATCAGGTGCGAGCCAGGTGGCGACTGTTATTCCCCAGTAGCCCACCACATGTGAAATTTCCTGCACATGTGTGCAATCCCATCATTACCACAGGTAAGAAAGAAAAAATAAACATGTCAAACTCATTTCTTTTTTAAAAGCTACTACTACATCATAAACACAGAAACCAGGCCCTGGCACTGAAAGTCAATCCCATTTTCCTACTTAAAAAATGGTATGGGGATGGGGCAAGAGCGATAGCACAGTGGGTAGGGCGTTTGCCTTGCACGCGGCCAACCCGGGTTCGATTCCCAGCATTCCATATGGTCCCCTGAGCACCGCCAGGAGTAACTCCTGAGTGCAGAGCCAGGAGTAACCCTTGTGCATCACCGGGTGTGACCCCAAAAAGAAAAAAAAATGGTATGGGGTGGGGGGAGTCTGGAGCAGCAGTACAGCAAGTAGGATTTTTGCCTTATATGTGCCCACCTAGGTTCAAACCCTAGTATATGGTCCCCAGAGCCTGACAGGAGTGGTCACTGAACACAGAACCTGGAGTAACCCCTGAGCATTGCCGTGTGTGGTCCAAAAACAAAACAAAACAAAAATGGTATAAAGTGAAATAAGTCATGGTGACTTTAACCAAACTTTAAAGTTTTTTATCTTTCAGGCTTATGCAGTGAAATATTTACAAATGAAATGATGTAACTAAAATTTGCTTCAGAATACTCCATGGCAGAAGCTGGAAAGAGTACAATGAGTAGTAGGGCGTTTGTCATGTAATCCCCCAGAGATTGCCAGGAGTAAGCCCTGAGCACCGCTGGGTATGACCCCAAAACTTATATAAAAGAATATTCCAAGACAAGCTATGGAAGAATAAAACTAGCCAAGAGTGGATTGTCCCTATTGAGGCTGGGTCCATACAAGTTTCTCCACATTATTCAACTTCTGAATATGCTTGATGTGTCTCTACAGTTAGAGTTAACAATAACATGTAAACACTGAGACGTACCATGATCGGTATCTTCTGATAATCCACCATCAACTCAATTGAACGGCTTCTCCTATAGCTTGGTTCTATCCTCCTTCAGCTGAAGGTCTCTAATTCACTCGTTCTATTTCTATTGCCACTACTTAATCCAGGTCATCACTCAGTATTTGAGTGTGCTGCAAGCTCCTATCGGCCTCCAAATATGGTTCTCAACGGGGCACTGCTGGCACTGGACTGGGACAATTCTTTGTTGTAACTGTCTGAACATTACAAAACTGTTTTTTGTTTTTTTGCGTCACACCCAGCGATGCACAGGGGTCACTCCTGGCTCATGCACTCAGGAATTACTCCTAGCGGTGCTGGGGGACCATATGGGATGCTGGGAATCGAACCCAGGTCGGCCGCATGCAAGGCAAACGCCCTACCCGCTGTGCTATCGCTCCAGCCCCTACAAAACGTTGTGACTTCCTGGTATTTCCTGAAGGCCAGTACAAGCAATACCATCACCAAACCACACACACATTTCCTACTGCCACCCGCTGTGGAGTACCACTTCTAGCCCTAAGGGCGGAGAACAACTCTTTTCCAATTTACCTGATTAGCTGAGTGGCTCCCCTCAAGTCAATCAGATTTCAGTGTCCTATCATCCTCATGGACACTGGAGGGCCCTGAACGGCAGTAACGGCTGGTTAGAGCTTGCCTTGCATGAGGCTGAGAGGGGTTCGATAACTGGCACCTTTATGGTCCCCTTGAGCCCCTCCAGGGTAAGCTCTGAGCACCGCGGAGTGTGGTCAAAAAAAAGGGGGGGGGGAAGGCATATGAATGATCAAATTCTAATGTACATCTAAGACGATCCTATCACGCTAATGTAAGCAGAAAGCACATTCCATTGACCGGAAACACTGAGTGGCTTCCCCCAGTCAACAGTTCAACCTTTCAAGCCAGGCCTGGGTTTTTTCTGGTGATACCCCGACTTTTACAGGCATCGTCTCCCTCTTCTTATCACTTCAAGCAACTTTCTGCTTCCAATTTTTTGTGTGCAAGGTAAACGCCCTACCCGCTGTGCTATCACTCCAGGCCCCGTTTCCCATTCTTGAGAAATTTCAGTTTTTAACAAACTTAAATTTGAGGACCGCCCCCCCCCACCCCGGGTCTCTTCATAACTTGTCTCACTCCTAAACAAATCCCATTTTCTCAAGGTTTACCCTGGTCCTGAAATGCTTTTCCACCCCCTTCCAAAATTCTACTTAGATGTGGGAAGACCAACTCCACGCGCTTTCTGAAATCCGATCCCCCTCCACACACACACACACACACACACACACACACACACACACACGCGTCAGATCACTTTCTTTGACTTCATGGAACCACGGGATCGGATCAGCCTTCTACGGTACAAACTCTGCTCCCTCTAAGAACCAACCTCTGAGCCTGCTCTGCCCCGTTTTGCAGCACCTCGGCCTGGAGCAATGAATGAATGCTCTTCTCAGTGCCGCACTGAGGGGCTCTGACTTATTTGTGTTTCTTAGGAAAATACACACCGCCCCCCCCCCCCCCCCCGAGATTCTGGGAACTCCTCGAACGTCGACGATCGGAACTTCAAGGCGTTTGCAGCACTGCCCAGGACCAGGCACGCGAAGAGCACTGGCGTCCCCCGCCCCAGGACGTCAGTGCAAGACGCCCCCTGCTCCCCTCCCCGCGCCCCCGGCCCGGGGTTTCGCCCAATTTAAGGCGCACACTGAAGAAGGCACACCCGCGACTCCTGGCACCGGTGGCTCAGTCCCCTGCAGCGATCTCCTGTACTTTCCTTTTTTTGTTTCATGCACAACTTCCCACTTTGCAGGAAAACCACGTATTTAACGCTCCGGTGACCTGAACGAGCTTCAGTTTAACCGAAAGTGCAGGAGGCGCTGCCCGACGGCTCCCGGGGTTGGGGCACGTGCGCTGACCTTTCCGGGCGAGGGGCCGCGGGCACCGCGCGGCCCGGCCCGGCTGCGCCCCCCCCACCTGCCGGCAGCAGCCGGGCCGGGGGCTCCCGACTCAAACCGCCCCGCGGCTCCGCTCCGTCTCCCGAGTGGGTCCGCCTGAGACTCGGAAGCAGCTTCGGGCGCGGAGACCCGGCGGGGGGCGGGGAGGGGAAGGGACGGGGGTCGGGGGTCGGACCGCGCGGCTGGCGGCCCCCACACCCCACGCCACGCGCCCCGGGGGCGAGCGGGGGACGCGGCGTGCCCACCCGCCGAGGCCCGAGCGACGCCCGAGCCAGCCCGGGGAGGGGCGCCCGCGAGACGCGCCTGCCGCGCCGGCCGCCCTGAGGCGCGGAGTCGCCCGCGCCGGGGCGAGCGGGGCGAGCGGGGCCTCGGCGACCCGCCTCGTGCGTGCGGGGCCCCGCGGGCGCCTCACCGTGATGGTGCAGTGCAGCGTGAGCGGCGCGGGCGGCACCAGGAACTGGCAGTGCAGCTCGTCCAGCTTCCAGCTGACGATGCGGAACCGCTCGTGGTTCTGGTCGAAGATGGACGCCAGGAACTTCAGCTCGGCCTTGAGCCCCGACGCGGACATCTTCCCTCATCTCCGGCGGGAGGGGCGCGCCAGGGGAGCCGGCCGGGCCCGAGCCCGAGGCCGAGGCCGAGGCCGCCGCCGCCGCCGCCGCCGCCGCCCCGCGGGGCCAGCCCGGACCGCGCTCCGGCCGCTCCGCCTTCCCCGCGCGTCAGGACCCGGCTGGAAAATGGCGAGGGGGGCCAGCCGCGGCGTCGGCGAGCGCTGCGCCCCTGCGTGACCGACTCCGGCTGGCCGAGGCGGGGGCCCCGCGGCTTTAAGAGGGCCACGGCGGCGCCGCCCCCCCCCACCCCCCAGCGCCTGGGAAAGGGCCGCGCCCCGCCCCCGGCCCCGCCCCCGTCCACGCCTGGGAAAGGGCCGCGCCCCCGCCCCCTCCCCGCCCCCGGCCCCGCCCCCGCCCCTCCCCCGGCCCCGCCCCCGCCCGCGAAAGGGCTGCCCCCCCGCGCCCCGCCCCGCCCCCGCGCCCCGCCCCCGTCCCCGCCCCCGTCCCCGCCCACGCCTGGGAAAGGGCCGCGCCCCGCCCCCGGCCCCGCCCCCGCCCGCGAAAGGGCTGCCCCCCCGCGCCCCGCCCCGCCCCCGTCCCCGCCCCGTCCCCGCCCCGCCCCGCCCCGGCGCGTGCCCGCGGCCGCTGCGCGCGCCCGGCCGCCCCCTCCTCGCCTCGCCCGCGCACCCCTACACCTCCCCGCCCCCCAGCCCTCCCCGCCTCCGCCGGCGCCCGGCCCGGCCCCTCCGCGACTCGCGCCTCGGGATAGCCGCGCGGGGAGGGGAGTCCCCGAGCGCCCGGTGATCCGGAGACCCCCCACCCCCACCCCCGCGCGCCCCCGACATCCCCATCGCGGGCCCCGGGCCAGACACGTGCGCGGCCCCTCGCGCCCGCCACGTCCGCGCGGCCCCCGAGGCGGCTCCTCGGCGGCGGGTCCTGACCCGCGCCGGCCCGCGGGCAGCCTGGCGACCCAGCACCTGGCTCTGCCTCCTCTGCTCTCGCCCCTGGCCAGGCCACTGTGCCTCTAGCCTGGGTGCCTGCCTGGCACCTTCCGTCCAGACTCCCGCTTTGGCTCTCGAGCGAGCCGGCTCCCAGCGAGATGAGGGTTTTGTCCCCTGCTGGTTGTCCCCTCTTGGCGTTCTCGCCCTCCTCCTCTCTCGCTGTCCCCTCTCCTCCTTCAAGACCCCTCCTGCAGCTTTCTTCTTTTTTCTTTTTTTCAGTTTCTCGGGCCTCAGGTGAGCTTCGTCTCTCGACCCTCTCTGGAGGCAGGACTCAATGAAGCCTTAATTGGGATGTCCTCTCACCTTGACCTTAACCACCTTGTCTAATTGGGCCCTCCCTTCACCCTCTTGGGTCCCAGCATCCTGTGTTGATTTCTTGGTTTGTTCCTTTTTTTTTTCTTCATTTCTTTTCTCTGTTTCTTCGGCTCTTTCTGTCCCCATTGTGGGCACCGAGCAAGCCCTTTTAAGTGATAAATAACCTTTGATAAATAACCTTTCTAATTGAATGAATGCCCTTCTCTGGAACCCTCATTTTTCACGGACTCCGAGACAATCCAGGTGCTTCAAAGAAAACAATAGGAGACTAATACCCAAGGACAGTAGAAATAAGGGCTCAGGGGATAGGTCCACAGTTGGAAGCCTGTCTCAGTGCTGGGGGAGAAGGCCAGTTGGACTAGAGAAGGGGCGGGCCACTGTGACAAAGATAGTTGGAAATGGTCACTCTGGATACAAACTGTACACTGAAAATAAGCAAAGGAACAAACAGGATGACCTCTCAGTATCTGTATTGCAAACCATAATGCCTGAAAGGGGGGTTGTGGGGGGGGGGGGGAGAGAGAAAGTGCCTACCATAGACAGGTCGGGGAGAGTGGCAGGAAGGAAACTGAGGTCATTTGAGGACATTGGTAGTGGGAAATGTACACTGGTGGAGGTATGCATGTTGGGACACCATGTGGCAGAAACCCACCTGAACAGGTAACACATTCACTGATAATGTACTAGGCTGGTAAGTTTCATGAGCAAAACTACCTATGCCATTGCCCAGGGCTCCTCACTTAAAAGGATCTCAGGTGTAATTTAATGCTCAGATTTTACATTTAGAAGCAGCACCTTTTTCAATAAGAAACTGCGTTTTCTTTTTACAGGAAAGTCTCGACTGATACCTAGCCTTCCTTATGTACATTATATTATTTTCGAAATCATTTTTTAGTATCTGCTGTGAGTCAAGCCCTAACAGCTCTAGAAAGAGTGGCTTTAACGTTGGATCAAAATGCTTTTCTGCAGCTGTAGGATGCATGTAGCAGGAAACTGTGACATGCAGTCCATGAACAAATTTATTACTTCATATAACAAGCAGCCCCAGAGTTGGCTGATTAGAGCCTTGAAAATGTTCAAGAGCCCAGAGCCTTCCCTTTTCTTTGTCCGGCTGAGAGCAAAATAGCCAAAGCTGTTCTTTTTGTTTGTTTGTTTGTTTGTTTTTAAGGGGCGCACACCCAGCAGTGCTCAGGGCTTACTCCTGACTCCGCACTCATGAGTTACTCCAGGCAGTACTTGGGGGACCATATGGGATGCCAGGGATCGAACCCGAGTCAGCCACAAGCAAGGTAAGCGCCTGACCCAGTGTACTATCTCTCCAGCCCCAGTAGCCAAAGCTATTCTTGCAGGACATATCCAGACCTGACACTAGACAGAGCTAGAAAGGACTATTATTATTCCTCTCTCTTTCTAAGACCCTGGAACCTAAGAGTCTTCCCCCTCTTTCCCTGGCCACAAATGTGACACATACCCATTAACCCATCACAGGGAAACGGATGACGGGGGTTACTCACTGAATGTTTTAATAGAGTCAGCTATAGTATCTACTAAACACACAAAGAAAGACAATATCAGGCCTGGAAGGTGGCTCTTTGGTTGAAAGCACTTGCCTGACTCATGCAAAAATCTTGAGTTGAAACTCTGGTGCCACCTGCAACCATTGAGGCAGTTCTGATAGCTTTGCTATTAGGTATCCCCATCGAGTGTGGGCCCCGAAGATGGCTCAGTAGTTTAGAAAGTGCCTCACCCAAGCATGGGAGCTGAGATTAATCCCTGGTGTTGAATTTGTGTGTGCAAAGATGATCTTGTCATCCCAGACTCTGGGGTCCCCAGGAAGAGCAATAGAATCAAAGAAAGACAATATCAGACCACATGTGCATTGTAGCACTGTAGCACTGTCCTCATGTTGTTCATCAATTTGCTCAAGTGAGCCCAGTAACATTGTGAGACCTGTTGTTACTGTGTTTGGCATATCGAATATGTCACAGGTAGCTTGCCAGGCTTTGCCGTGCAGGCGAGATATTCTCGGTAGCTTGCCGGGCTCTCCAAGAGGGGCGGAGGAATCGAACTCAGGTCGGCCGGGTCAACCACGTGCAAGGCAAACATTCTACCTGCTGTGCTATCAAGTATAGTGTAGACCACATGTGATAAAAGAAAATTTCAAACTACGAAACTATGATATTCAAGAAGGAAACATTAATTCTAAAAATTACTTGCAGGGGCTGGAGAGATAGCAAAGCAGGTAGGGCGTTTGCCTTGCATGCAGCTGACCCGGGTTCAATTCCCAGCATCCCATATTGCCAGGAGTAACTCCTGAGTGCAGAGCCAGGAGTAACCCCTGTGCATCGCCGGGTGTGACCCAAAAAGCAAAAAATAAAAAAAATAATTACTTGTATAGAAGTAATATGGTTGGTGCTTGGGCAGTATTTCAAATGCTTTGCATGCAGGAGGCCCTGGGTTCAATTCCCAGCACTTCAAGATCCCCAGAGCACCACTGCGAGAGAACCCCTAAACAATGGATGGGGGGAAACCCCTAGCACTACCAGGTGGGACATATACAAAAAGATATATATATATATGTAAAGGTAAAAAGGTAAAGGCCCTCCCGTTGATCGTCGATTTGCTCAAGCGGGCCCAGTAACGTCTCCATTGGAGACTTTGTTGTTACTGTGTTTGGCATATCGAATACTCCCGGTAGCTTGCCGGGCTCTCCGAGAGGGGCGGAGGAATCAAACTCGGGTCGGCCATGTTGGCTGCTTGTAAGGCGAATGCCCTACCCGCTGTGCTATCGCTCCAGCCTATATATATATATATATATATATATATATATATATATATGAGACTATGTTCAGAGACAATCCAAGAGCCCAGCTGATTATACAGTGCTGAAAAGAAAACTCTAGGGCTGAAAATTCTAAGATGCTTTTTGAAACCTAACTATGGTGTCCTGCAATAACATACCATAGACTTCATTTCATGAGAGTCATCTTTTTGCCGAAGATTAATCTGGCATCGATGTACAAAATGGATTACAGCGGGTCTAAAATTGTGAAGTAACCACCCAAAAGAGACAGCGAATACTGATCCTTGACCTGGTTTGCCATTAATTCACTGAGTGATTCTTTTTGAGGGGGGCGGGTCACACCCAGCAATGCTCAGGGGTTACTCCTGGCTCTGCACTCAGGAATTACTCCTGGTGGTACTTGGGGGACCATATGGGATGCTGGTGATTGAACCCAGGTCGGCCACATGCAAGGCAAACGCCCTACCCACTGTACTATCACTCCGGCCCCCATTAATTCAATGAATATGTCATACCTACTCTACTCCAATCACCTTTTAGTTCAGTCCAAGACAATACTAAGAAACTCTAAAGTGGCAACAGAAATGAAAGGGACTAGAATGAATCTAGGGATGTTTCTGAGGTCAAATTGCTAGAGCACAGAGAACAAGGCATGAGAGAAAGAAATGCCACTTTAAAATAGTACTCGGAGGTGCTGGGAGATACTACAGTGCACTATCTGAGACCATAGAGCCCACGGTATTATCGCATCTTCAGACCCTTGCATTTAACCAACAGCCCAGTTGGCCAAGAATCTACCATGGGGGCCTCTATACCTCCTGAGTATCTCTTGGGAGTCTCCCCCACAAAAATAAATACAAAGGGTCAGAGAGATCATAGGTTAAGGTACTTTCCTTGAGTCATTTAACCCTGGTTTGATCCCTAGCATCACATATGGTTCGTGGGCCCCTGTAAAAGTGATCCCTAAGCACAGAGCCAGGAGCAAGTCTTGAGCACTACCAGAGTTGGCCCCCAAACAAATTCATACATATTTAAAGCAAAATAACACTTTGAAATTTCTAGAGCCAGGTGGTTAAGGAGGATGCGTAGCTATTGACCCGGACAGACAAGGCA